GGCACTGAATGTTGTCTGTTCTGGAATTATACTGGGATATGTTGCTGCAACAGGAATGGGATTTCAGGGTTATTATTGCAGGGATGCCCACTCTGGTCATGTCCCTGCTGTGCCAGGCACAGTCTCAGGATATTCCCATCACGGGTTGGATGTGGCTCCACGTTTGCCCAGGAGTTTGTTGTGCTGTGTTTTTTTAACCAGACAGCCCCTGCCCACCTCCCAGGGTGAGAACTCTCTCCCTGGGGACTTCACAGCCCCGACTGGCAAGTCAGACATACGTCGGTTGTGCCGTCGGTTGTCCTTGAATCAAAACCACGAGTCCAGAAGTGTGGAGCAGTTTCTGTCACCACTTTCCTTGGGAGAGAATTCTTCTCTCCCGCAAATGCTCCTCACCTTGGCAGAGCTGGGCTGGCAGACAAGCTACTGCTCCCTCATTGGCATCTTGCATTTTTAATGAGCTCGTAATGAGCTCGACAAAGACCACGAGGTACCTCTGAAGCCTTAAGCAGAAGCCATGAAACTTTTTGTCTTTTACTGCGCAGAGAGAAATGCAGTAAAAGAATAAAAAAAATTACAGCTCTGAGCAGCAGTGACAGGGTGATCCTGGATGAACGGGCGGAATCAATGGGTGAGCAGTTCCTTTAAGAGTAAAAAAATGCGTTAAAATAGTCAAGCTTTGTGCTGCTTTGAAGCTCACAGGCATGTCATTTTTGGTGGTTTTATTACATTTTGTGTGTGTTTGAGTCAAGCAGATAGTGTCAAATTCTGATAAAACAAATTCCAGCATCCTAAAGTCAAATGATTATATAAAGCAACATGTACAAACTGTGAGCTGGGTTTTTTTTTTCTTTTCATTCACTCAGGGTATTTTTAATACATCTGAGAATTTAACCATGTCTCTCACTGTGGTTTAGAAACATGCTGAGGCAGTTACTTAGTTAATTCAAAATTATTGGTAAAGATGAAGACAACTTGTGATTTCCGAAGATCTCTTTATGCAAAACAGCCTGTATCTCCATCTGAAGAAATTTTGTTGTAGTGTTCTTCATCTTCTCCACATTTTGATGAAAAAATCAAATTATTTTGATAGTGTTTCATATGAGGTATTGCCTTTTCAGGTAGTGCAATTTCAGCTTATATCACAAAATGTAATGTTTTATCGTTCCATCCTGCTTAGGAAAATCTATTCTTGCCTAAATTTTTTCTGCAACACATCATCTGGAAGTGTTTCAAAACAGAACAACACAAAAAAGCTCATCTTGAAGTGTCTGGCTTCTGCACTGTAGACTTCTGAGCTCCCATCACAATAGGATCTGAGCCCCTTCCAGCAGCACATGAAACGCCCCAAGGAACATCTGCCATGTTTTGTTTCCTTTTCCATCATCCCCTCCAGGGAAAATGCATGTACAGTGGCATGGCTAGTTTTGGTCAGGTTTCTCTGCATGAGATGGGGTTTAATTTTTTATTTTTTTTTTTTTTAAGAAAAATGCATTTCAATTGAAATTCGCATTTCAATGAGAAAAGACAAGATGGAAGAAACAGTCGTAGTACTTCTACTACTGGTAGTACTTCTAGAGTGGCATGCAGGAATGTTTGGAGGAGGGGTGTTGTTCACTTTTCTCGCACTAATTTGGAGGAATTGCTGATCATACTGGGAATTTTTTTGTGGGAGAGAAGCAGAGCTGGACTTCACTGAAAGCCAAGAGCAGTTGTGCTCTTTGCTAGATCACAGCAAGTGAAGTTGCAGCTGGCGGGAGTCCAGCCAGAAGTCAGGGACTGCCTCTTGGAATGCTGCAACATCCCCTTCTATGGCAGGGGATGAGCAGAAGAGTTACTTCTAGAAATTCTGTGTGAGAGCTTTGGGCTTGGATTCACACTCCATCCAGTGATTGTCCAAAGTGAGATTTTTCTGGCTGCAGATGACACATTATTTTTGGACTGCTGGTCCTCATGCAGGAAGGGGTGGACTTCAGCTTTGAGGGAGCCTAGAACTTCAACTCTGATGTGCAGCCTCCATCCCCTTCTGCCAGGTCAGCTGTCAGGAGTTAGACTTTGTCTGCATTGCTGACTGTTGTGATTGCTCACTGTTAACTCATAAAAGAGATGAGAGGATCTCATTACAGGAGCTGTGCTGTCTATTACCAATGCTGCTGTTCCAAAACAGACTCATTTTGCATTGGAATTTAACAGCATCAAACAGATTGGATGAATGCACAAATAGTTTAATTGTCCTGAAAATCGACTCAATTTTCCAGGGGAATTAGGAGCTTTAACAGAGCGGATGTTAAACCACTGTGGTATTTGCCTTTGCTTGGCATGAGAGGTGGCCAGTCCTCTGACCACAAGCAAGAGGACACATGGCTGTTCTCACCTCCAAGAGCAACATCATCGCTCTCTGGCACAGGAATCACTGCTTGGTCCCCCAGAAGAGACAGCCAGCCACTGGCTTTGCTGTGCTGTAGAATGGCATATTGCACAAATTCGTCTGGGCTCATTCCTAAGCCCTGAGCTGCCTTACTAAATAAGATGGACACAGATTACAAGCATCCTTTGTCCTCTTCAAAATCTCAGGCACAGCTGCCAGGACTCACTAGTTCTGGAATAAATAGTCCAGACTTCAGACCAGCATTTTCAGATCAATTCTGCAACAAAAGGCTTCATACTGGGTAAAACATGTCCCTGCTTCCTAAAACTGGGAGATCTCAGCTTCCTAAATTCTCTGTGCAATATCCAAAGCAAATATTTCCTCAGGATCATAAGTTTAATTAACATCTTGAACTTCATTTATTTTTATTTCTCAAAAAGCATGCAACGACTGGCTAGCTGGAGGTGATAGGACAGAAAATTGTATCAGCACTGTTATGAGGAAGAACATGAACATTTTTAGATAGTGAAATGAGGAAGAGTCCCAAGGGCAGGAAATCCTTGGAGACAGGGAGAAGAGGAGAGACAGGAGTGAATATAAAGGCTATGCAGGCACAAGCAGGATTCGGGATCAAACCTACCACAAGATTAGAAAAAATATCTGAATTTACATTGCCTGTAACAAACAAGTGAAGGTTGGCAGCTGGCAGCCTTGTCCACAGGGAGCAGGAAAGGTGCCCTCTTGTTTTCTGTCTTCCATCTCAGGGCTCAGCTAAATGTTTCCAGGGATGCTTTATGATTTCCAGCTGAAGGGCACAGGCTAAGCTTTAACTTCCTCCTGTGGAGTGACTCCTGCTGCCTCTCCTAAAAGCTTTAGTGTCTGTTGCAGAGCTTCCTAGGCTGCACTGTAAACAGTAAATGGTTAAAAGTCAATGGGGAAAGAAATTGCTGGTTAACTAATCCTAACAAAAGTCGGCCCTTGATGATGTGCAAACTCTGAGCTGCCTGTGATGGGCACCAAGTTTTCTTTCAAAACACATACCTGTTATTTCTGGTGCTCTTGGCTGCTGCAGAGTCTGGTTGCAGGTGAGGGGATCTTTTGTCACCGACTGCTGTGTAGACAGGCTCAGGCTTCAAAAGGTGGTGTTTAATGTTGTTTGTTTCTTTTTTTTTTTCTTAATCCTTATTAGCAGAAAAAGAAGCTAAATTTGCAAACAGAAATGATGAGAGGAGAAGGACATGTCTGCTGATCATAATTATGCTATCAGAAGCACATTGGCATAATGAAGGGATAATTGCTGACTATGCTGCATTCTCTTTTCACATGTTTATGACAATTAGGTGTAGAAGTGGGCAGATTGTCACTGATTTTAGGCAAAGCCCTGTAGTAGGCATGAAGGAACTTAAGTGCTCATAGGAAACATCTCATCCTTTGTGATTCCACCTCTGCATTTCCAACAGGATTAAAGTCACTGATCAGCAGCAAATGAGCAGCGTGGAGCTGCACGAGTAGTGCCCAGTCATTGTAATTCTTCATGGAAGCAAAAGAGGCAAGGCAGTAAGTCCTAAAACCCTGAGAGCCTTAAACCCAGCAGGTGCCGTATCAGAAGCCTTCGTATCAGCTTAGTAGCCCCTTTTCACGTGCACACAGAGCATGAAGTCTTTCACTCAAATTTAGCCTGCCTTTCCTTTGGTTTCTGTACCATGGTCCCACGCAGATCTGTAATTCTTCACCACAAAACCTCCAGTCCCTGATCTGTTGGCAGGATAACTTTGAAGGACAACACTGAGCAGCCATTCTTCCGTAGGATAAAAGAGTTTCAGTGCTTGCTCTGGTTCCAGCTCTTTGATATGACACTGAAAGGCAGATCCTCTGACTTGAAGGCCAGGGACCTTGAGCCTGCACAACCAGAGCCTGTTTTCTCACACTTGTTAGCACTGGGCAGCCTCCTGGCACTCAACTTAAAATGCATGTTTCCTCCTTAATATGGGTCAAAACTGTTGAGACGGCCTGTTTTTAGTGATTCAAGTATGTACATCCCATAATCAGTCTTATGGATTTGCTCCAGGTTTTGTTGTGCTAATTCCCATCCCAGGTGGCTATGAGTTAATTAGTAAGCTACATGTTTCAGGGTACACCCTGAAACAACAAATCATTACTCAATAAAGAGTGCACAGATAAAATGTATTTGATGATGTGGTAGAAATGCTTTGGTTTGACCTCAATGATTGAAATCTATGTATTATTAGTGACCATTCACAGTTTTTTACATTGACTGGCTTAATCTGGATTTGGATTTTGGAGATCTGGGAATAAGAAGCAATCTAAGTATTAGATATCAGGAAAAAATTCTTTATGTGAGGGTGGCGAGGCACTGGCACAAGTTGCCCAGAGAAGCTGTGGCTGTTCCATCCCTGTAAGTGTTCAAGGCCAGATTGGATGGAGCTCTGAGCAACCTGGTCTAGTGGAAGGTGTCCCTGCCATGGCAGGGGTTTGGAACTAGATGTTCTTGAAGATCTCCTCCAGCCCAAGCCATTCTATAATTCTGTGATTTTCATTTCCTTAGTTTTCAGGCCAGCCTGTGCTTTGTGAGTTTGGACTATCTTCCCTCCGATGCTAAAAGGAAACCTGTTTGGCTTTGGACATCTTGGAAGGATGATACAAAGCCAGCAAGATCTCCTGTTGGTAAGGCACCTCCAACATCCTCTGGTGTTGAACAGCAGTCCAGTGACTCTCAAGTATTTCTTCCTATTTGTCACCCTCAAAGGTGGCCTTTAGCACACAGATGGCCCGTGCTCAGTGAAGTGTGGAGGGAGGCAGCCAGAGCGTGGGTGGGAGCCGTCCCCGGCAGTGTGTGACAGATTGAGGACTTTGTGTCACCACTAAGCAGGAAGCCAAGCATGTGCTCTTCCTCCCACCACCAAACCTCCAAGTTCTTTCACTCTAGGGTGCTTGCCCCTCCGTGGGTATGTCCAGGCCTGAATCTATTGGTTTTTCCATTTCTCTTTTTCCTCGTGAGGCAAATTTACCAGTCTGCATCCTTCCCTTGCAGGGCAATGCTGTACCAGGGAAAAAGAGTGGGATGGGAGAGGCAGAGAGGATCAGGAGGATGTGACTCTTACAAAGGCACTTATGTCACCATCCACGGACACCCACCTCAGTGGGTTTAGGAGCTCCCTGCAGATAGGCAGGTTTGTGCCACAGCAGTAGCATCCAGCCCATCCCTGCAGCCAGGTCCCTGTGACCACAGCAGAACACTTCTGAAGAGCTACAGAGTTTTTCTGGTGTTAAAATCTGTCTTGCTGACGTGTTTGTTGAGTCAGTGTCCCACTCAGCATCCTGAAACACAGCCTGGGACTATTAGCACAATTCCTAATTTCAGCTGTGCTTAGGAGCCTTCACATTGAGTTTGTTCTCTCGTCGGAGTCATCGTTTACTTCAGCATAATTTTTTTTTTAAATTCATACCCCTCCCCTCAACACACACAGACCTCACAGAGATTTTCATGCATTTAAATGAAAAAGCTGAACAGTTCCCTTTTCTCAATCACATTATGCAGCATTGCCCTTCTCTGTACTTTGTCCTATTTCAGAGCTGTCATGCAAACAATCCCAACTTAAAAAAAAAAATCATTAAAAAGTGTGCATCCTATCAGCCTTCTGTCTCAGCTCCTTCTCTTGCTCTATATGCAGGGAGGAAACCCTTCTCCTGCTTGCCTTCCTCTCTCAAGTGTTTTCCCTTCTTTCTTAGCTGTGATCCAGTATCTCTCTGATTCCCCAGGGTGCTCTGGTCTGCCCCAGTTGCCCAGGAAATGAACCCTTACTCCCTTTCCCCCCACATATATAGTATTGACTGTTCCATAAAGCAACTGTTTTCTAAAGCATTTTAATCTGGATTTTTTTTTCCCTAAACTATTCCAGAAATGGAAATACTCCTCTTCTGTATCATCTGACCCTGTTCTGCTGGGACACCCCCTTTCCTTTGTCCACCTGAGTGTATCTGGATGAAGCAGTCATTGCATCTTCCACCTTCATCAGTGAAGTATCTGATTGGGTTTGATATTATTTCTTGCTCTCTTTTATATCATCTGAGTCAGTTTTTGAGAAAGGTTCAGCCATAGGCCTTGAACATGCATTGATTTGGGGTTTTTTTGGTTATTATTCAAGTATGATTGGTCTAGCTTACCTTAGCTGCCTTCATCATGTCAGAAAGTTATGCTCTGGTGAGCCTACCCCTTTTTCATATCCCTGCCTTTTGATCATTTGGCTGTGCTGAACAGTCATTCTTCTGCAAGACATGCTGCTCAGAGTCCCATGGGATTGTCATGTTGGCCACAGAAGTCCTCTTTGGCAGAGACTAAAGACTGAAAAAATGGATCCAGCTCTGGGATTCACTGGTGGCAGGGACATGTCAGCAGGAAGGATCATTTGTTCTTGCTCTTGGCACAAGTGTATGGCACTTGTTATTGGCTCTCCTGGGCAACAACCATAAACCAAACCCAAACACAACTGAAAAAACCCTCCTCAAAATGAGAAAACCACTGGAAAATAAGGAAAAAAAAAAACCCTAATGAATATCCCAGGAAATGGAAATATAACGGGGTAGGGCTCAAAACAGCAAAATGCAGATTGGTCCTGTGCAATGAGTATTTTGTCCTTTCTGCAGCTGGGGCTCTCGTGAGAAGATGTGGACGTTGATGTGGCTCTGACAGGGAGTTTGCACTGATCATAGATGGAGAGAGAGAGAGAGAGAGATGCTGGAGCAGGTGTGGGACAACAGGTCAAGGCTTTGTCCTGTAATCCTCTCACCTCTGATACCCCACAGAGACTCCTGACGGCCAAGAGACTGCCTTTTCCAAGAGGTATATGTCCTGCAGTAAGATCTCCAGTTTGTAGTAAAAATAACTATCACTTACTTCACAGGCCCATGGAAAAGCACCTGCCTGGGCAGCAGGAGACTGGAAAATTGCAGCTGTGAAACTGGATGTGCTAACTTCTGTACAGAACATCCATGAATTTAGACTTCACTTTTCCCTGGTAAAACTTTGGATTGTCTTGATTTTTATTCACACATGAAAGGTGAAATGGTCTAAATCTTAATGTTTAATGAGTTGGGGACTGTTTCTCAGTTTCAAAAATCCATTAGCCTCTTAGTCAGCGAGGAGTAAAGAGCTGTTTTGAATTCATGGTACGTCTTCAAAGTTTCTTTCAAAGATTACTTTTTTTTCCCCTTCTCCTCTCATGTATCTCAGAAGAAACCAGGCTGCCAAACTGCTCCAGGAAGCTCTTCTGAGATAGAGACATCCATCTCTGTGTACGGTCTGTACTTGTGAAGCAGAGCACAAAGCCCTTTTTCCATTTAATCCATATTAATTATCTCTCTGCAGCTCCTCTGTAGTTTCCACTCAGCCTAAGCATCAAAAACTTGTGTGGCTGCATCTTGAACAAACCAGAGCTTTTCACTCCACACCTGGTAAGTCAATGTTCCAAAAATAAAAATAAATAAAAAGGTTTACTGCTGAAGAACTGGGGCTCTCCATGCTTGAACACTGCATGCTGTGGGACTGTGGACTAAGGCAGATATTTTTAGTGCCATCAATATCTCCTGGAGTTGATATCTCCCAAGACAGATGGTTGTTTCCCACAGAACGTTGTCAAATGTTTGCTCAGCCAAGATCAATTTTGTTCCAAGTCCTTTCCCACCTTCTGGTGAAATATATTTCACTTGCCAGACAAAAAATTAAAGAAACAGCATGAAACCGTGCCACTCCAGAGGGCTCTCATTCCCATGGCTCTCCTCTGTCCTTTAGCCATGTGACTGACATCTCTTTCTGTGCCCGGGGAGGAGTAATAGATGCAGTCATGGTGTGAGCACGATGCCAAAAAACAGGGCTCAGGTCTCATGGCAGAGGCTGATTTCCTGTGAGACCTACAAGTCACTTCTCAGCCTGTCAAAGGGTCTCCCTGCCACACTTTGCTGTTAGATCTCCTAAAACCAAAGGGATCCTGAGCTCTCCACCTGAGCACCTCGAATAGATCGCGTAAGAAAATGAGGTGCAATGTGGAAGGAGGAGCAGAAGCCGTGCTGAGGGGGAGGCACAGAAAGTCTGAGCTGTGTCCATAGCTCAGCAGCAGCTGCAGCATTTCTTTTAATGACAAGCCCATGTGAGCCTGGAGACGTGGAGCCCCTTCGTGGTGCCTGCTCTGTGTGGATTTTCAGCTGAAATGACAGGGGGCAAAGGACTCTTTAAAGGGTGGCACGGAATGTGTCTATTTTCTTTTCCTTGCTGGTTGTTATTTTTAGCTGAGCCTGACTTGTCACAGTGTAAGAGACAGAGCTGGTACTATCTGAAGGACAAGCTCCCTTATAATGCCTGATTGTTCCAAGTGAGAAATTACAGCAACCAGTGCCAGCAGCAGTTTCTGAAATGTGATGATGATTCCTTCCTGTTGCGTTTTAGCTTGTCGTGGCTGTGTATTTGAAAATTGTTAATAGGGGGTTGTTTTCTAGGACGTTGGCAATCCAGGATCAGCAGGGTATTTCCCATCTTTATCACTTCATACATAAAAATAATTCTGATTTAGTTTTGTACTTCTAAATCCTTTCGAAAATGCTATGAAATCAAATTCATTCTTCTGCAGACTGAAAGGTACATTGGATCATCCACAATATTCTTTCCATGTTGATCCATAATCTTCACTATTACTGTTTCAGAGGCAGGTGAGGCTCTCATTGGAAGGGAAATCATTGCTATGATGCCCAAAAATATTTTTCATCCCTAATTTGGTTCTATTCACGTCAACTTGACTTCTTAAACAAACCTATATCCTCAGACTAATTTTGCAGAAGAGGACTGTGGATGGAAGAAACGTGCTAGTCTTGGTATTGTACTTCAATTTTGAAATTTGCCTGGGGTTCATTAATATTTTACTCCTACATTTGCTTTAGGACTACATATTCCTGACCCTTAACTCATGTAAGAGGCGCTTTAAGCCTCCTCCTTCCAAATGAGCATCTTCACTCTTTTTAAAATACCACGTATACAGAAATATATATTACATACATATATGCCCAACTTATCACTAAATTGTTTACCTGCAGAAATCACTCTCTGCTACCTGACAAAGTCAAGTGAAAGCCTCTATATAAAGCCTTTTCAGATTGGGGCTATAATTGCCAATATGGAGTTTTTCTCTATGACAACCTATCATTGGAAGCAAGGTTTGCAGTGTCACAGAGGCTCCTGGGAGAGACTAGATGTGATGGGAATCAATAATTTGGTCTGCAAGTGGGTTTGGGACAACCCAATCCCTACCTTCTTATAAGAGGCGTACTTGTGCAAAGAGAAATAAGAGGAGTGCAACAATTCCACATTAAAAAAAAAAAAAAAAAGGAAAACTAACACTGTGTGTATGTGAAAGATGGTGATGTTTATTCAGCCTTATTTTATCTATATCATAGAATGGTTTGGTTTGAAAGGGACCTTAAAGACCATCCAGTTCCAAACCCCTGCCATGAACAGGGACACCTTGCACTAGACCAGGGTGCTTAGAGCTCCATCCAGGCTGGCCTTGGACACTTCCAGGGATGGGGCAGCCATAGGTACTCTGGGCAACCTGTTCCAGTGCTTCACCACACTCAAAAGGAAGAATTCCTTCATAACATCTAATCTAACCCTGTCCTCTATTTGTTTGAAGCCATTCCCCCTTGTTGTATCACTACATGCCCTACTTAGCAGGACTTCTCTCCTGCCCTTTTGGGGAGCTTTCTGAGCTACTTTAAACTGTAAGGAGAAAAAAAACTCTTCCTTTCTCCTTAAGAATATTCATAAGCAAAAGCCAAACTCCCGCTCTACATCTTTGTTCTGGAGTTTGTCTCCCAGATACATTAATTCACGGAACACAGGTGGAACATTTTCATTGTTAAGATCCAAATTAAGCTGTCTATCCTATAAAGGATCCCCCCTGCCTGAAGCAAAACAGAACTGTTAATGCATTTTTTATAAACAATGCCATTAAAGATGCATGAAAGATGTGTTGTAAATATTAAAATGGAATTATCACTTTTTTTTTCTTACTCCATAAAACATAGCACAGAAATCTCCAGGTCAAATTCCTTCTGATGCAAATTAAGCCAGACCCTTTAAATTTCAAGTCTTTTGCCCATTTCCTTTACTACAGTATTACAGTTTGTGCAAGAGCTCTGAAACAGCCCTGGTTAAGTTGTTCCCAAATGTGGCGAGTTCAGTTGTGGAACTATGCAATAGTCAAGCTATAAAAACACTTGAATGTGAGCAGAGCAATTACAGGGAACACGTATGAATATTTCAAGAGATGTTGTGGTCTCCTAAACCTGCTCCCTGATCAAGGCAGGTTTGACATGTAGCTGCAGGGCTTTACTTGAGGAACCCTCGTGAGCCATGTTGGCCCGAGGCTGGGTGCAGGCACGTTGCCTGCTAGGCTGTTATCCCACCTAGTGGCTGCTCTCCCTTCCCACAAGACAATTTTTTTCCCGTGATGTCAGTGAAACCAGTCAAGGTTTGATGTATTACCCCAGTTAGCAGTGAATGTGCTCTCACATTGCTTAGTCAGATGGTCAAACCTATGCCCTTGCCGTGAGTGCGTTACGCCAGGGACGGGTTTCACGCTCAGGTGGGTGTTCACATCATCTAACTTTATACATCAAATATAGATGCCTGTTTAATGCAGCCAGCTTTGCAGAGGTAGTACTCTGCATCACCTCTTACTTATATAATCACAGAATCATTTAGTTTGGAAAAGACTTTGAAGATCATCGAGTCCAACCATTAACCCAGCACTGCCCTCCACTAAACCTTGCCCCCAAGTGCCACACCTACATGGCTTTTAAATACCTCCAGGGATGGGGACTCCACACCTTCCCTCGGCAGCCTGTTCCCATGCTTGACAACCATTTATGTGAATAAATTTTTCCTAATATCCAATCTAAACCTTCCTTGGTGCAACTTGAAGCCTTTTCCTCTTGTCTTATCACTTGTTACTTGGGAGAAGACACAGACAACCACCCTGTTTGTATCTGCCTCTTAATTTGGGCACAAGACAATGTGAATAAGCCCTTCCCTTGTCCCTGATTGTAGGACCAGCTTAAGTTCCCCAAAGTCCCTAAGGGCAGTCACAGGAGTGACTTTTATCTTCCCTGCTGTCGATAAGCAGGTGTCCACAATACACCTTTACAGTGTCCATCCACTTCACCATCAGCCCAACACTGGCCTGACTGAAACCAAAAGTAAAAATGCCATTGCCTTCCAGAGGAGCAGGTTTCAGGCCAAAATTTTGAGTTGGAATCACATGAAAAACAATCCATGGAAACATATTTTGATGACAACAAGAGAAAAGAGGACTTGCCAAAGCACTGCAAGAAACTTCATACAATTGGACCCTTCAAGATAGAGTTCATTGTGAAATCCTACGTTGCTTCCTTCCAGCTTTCTCTTTGCCCTTCTCTTTGCCTCTCTATTGCTATGCCACATTTTGCTCTAACTTTCCAAAAGTTGTTTCGTTATCAAAAGAACTGAGATCTGTCCCTGCTTATTTCTTTAAGTCCCTGCAGTTCTTAAATGCATGACTTGCATTGATTGGATGGTCCAACTCTTTAGATTGACTTATCTACTCAGAAGAATCTCTTGATTCCTTTCATGATCTGTTTTCCCTTGTTTTCATGTCAGTCTTGCTTTGTGGGAAAGAAAAACTTAAGAGTAAAGGCAGCTGAAGTTCCCAGCACATGCCTGAAGAGTGTCCACTGCTCACTGCAGAGATTTAATAATGAAAGTCACCTCAGAAAATTAATTATTAATCTTAATATTTTTCTACAGAATCAATGAATCTTCCTCAAAATGTAGAACTATAAGAATTGTTTCCATGTGTATTAAAGAAAAATCACATTGTCAGAAAACAGGACCATTTTCCTGACCATCATTTTTACTAAATAAGTCTCAGTATTTAATTTCTTTCATTGAACAAAACACAAGAAAATTAATTGCTTTAGTCTACTGACATTTATTAAGTGAAAACATTCCCACCTGTGCTGTCTTTGCCAGTGCACTGGAAGAAAATTTTCCCTAGAAAAGTGAAAAAAGGCACAGAAAGCTTGACACGCACTTTCTTTTTCTTTTCCTGTGCTGTATTTTTTTATAGATCTATAATTTGGTGATGAAATGCATTTACCACCAGTACTATACTCAATTTAACAGTCAGCTCCTTCATGCAGGAACCTGTAGCTCCTTTCTCCCTGAGCTGCTCGCTGCGTGCAGCCGGGGAAGCTGTTTCCCAAGGCTCCCAATTAGCTGCCTACCCAAGCTGTCTTTTCCAACCAGATCAGATATTCAAGATTCCCTTCATGTCTCCCTGCTACACTTTAATTTACATTTCCAGCAGTATCCTCTACAAGTGGTCTGCCACCTGGTTATACCACGGAAAGGTTTGCTGGATCAGGGAGCCCATTGCGGGGTGCAGGGAACCAAAACTTCCACAACCTCCGAATGCTGCAGCTTCTTGTCTCCAGTTTTCCTAAGGGATGCTCATGCAGTCCATGGATGAGAGGCCTTTCCATGGCACAGTGGTCCAGCAGGTCAGTGTCAGGGCACAGACATCCCTGGGAAAAAACTTAAAGGAAATAGTTTCTCAAATTTCTACTACTGTGTTTCATAATTTGTGTTATTTAAGACTTGTGGGCAGCCACTCACTATCTAAAACTTATTTTCAGACAAAATCTGGTAATGAACTCCCACTTAGCTGATGATCAGTTTCCAAAAATAATTGCTCTGGAATTAATGATGCAGGGTGGGTTTCTTTATTTAATCACTTTATACTAAGGTACACCAGAATTATCAGATCAACTCTAACAGGATCTTTTACTGTAGTTTGAGATCGTAATCCTCTGACTGAAATGAAAACGTCACCTTAAACCTGCAGCAAAGGGCAGCTTTATGCTTGTTGCAGTTGATCCTCCCTGGAGGATCAACAGCATATTTGACCCTGTATTTTGAAACACATGAACTCAAATGTACCTGAAATGCAAAGAAACAGGAAGAGGAATAACCTTCTTCCCTTTGCCTGTTCTGGAAGGCAGAGGGGAATTTCTCTTTGCACTCAGGACACACACTAGTCCTGTGCTGTAAAGAGTTCATTGGTCTAGTTTCTGTGTAATGTGACTGGAGTATAAAAAGGGGGTTTGGTGCTTTTAGTGTCTTTTCTTAAGGAAAATAAATTTTCAGGCTGATCCCCTTCCAAAGTTCAAGCCAATGCAGCGTCCAGACACAGGAGTGGAACACACATAGTTATCAAGATGTCTGTATTTTCATTAACAGCCAAGGAAAGCCATTACAGTTCTGAAGCACTCTGCTTTTGTCTTTTACAGAGATCACTTAGCTGGAGATAACTAGGGAGATGCCTGAGAAAAGGAGCAATTACAGGTAATCAATAATCCTCAAATGGCAGCAATTAAAATTCTGGGGAAAAAATTATTAAAAAGAAAGCAGGCAAGGTAATGGCAAATCATCCATCAGCCATTCCGAGAGGTTTTGCAGATCTCGACTTGAAGAAAGGAGGAGTTTTTAATTAAATCATCATCTGAGGACGCAATTGATCCTTCATGTGTGACAATTTAGAATGCAAGAAACAGCTTTGAATGGCCATAATCGTAAAAGATGCGTTTGTTTTCCCCCAAAATGAGCCCCTTGCCTGGCTATGTAAAAGAGATGATTCTGCTGAAACAATACGTGAGAGCTCTCTGCTTTTAAATGGTCTAATTTCCATCTCCTTTAGCTGAGTCAATTTGGTGCAGTAACATATGTCTTTGTTTCCAAATAGAGATGTCTGTAGACAGCATTTTCTGTATAACTTTGTCCCCTGCCCCAAGAAGTTAAAACCAGTGAATTAGGATTCCACAGGGGTCGTGTTTCCATGACAGGAGAAACTTGAGCAGATTGACTTGGGAAGCGCTTTTCCTCAGCTCCAACCAGGGCACAAATTCCATTTTTAGTGATTCTCACCAGCCTTTTGGAGGCTCAGCCCTGGGGGTCCCTCCATGTCTTGCAGGGGCAGCACGGGTGTTGCAACCTTAGAGAGGCACCTGCTGCTTTCAGAAACAATGGCTCCTTTGGGCTGGCATCTCTCAAGACTGCACAAGTGTTTGCTCCTGCTCACTGATGAGGAGGAGCTCCCAAATCCCTTGACCAGCAACTGGCCAAGGCTGGGGAAAGCTGGGGATGAACTCAGGGCTGCCTGATCTGCCTTGTTATGTGACCTAAGTGGCCTCAGGTGGTGGGCTGGGATGGCTATGGGGTTTTTTTCCTGTGTGGGAGGGGGGTATCTTTGTCTAGCCTGAAGACTCACCCATGTTGCAGGGAGCAAGCCTGAAGTAGTAAGTTCTTTTGTGCTTTTTATTCTGTGGAGTTGTTTTGAGGGTTTTTTTTTTTTGATGGTTTGTTGGGTTGGAGAATGTTAACTGCTGTGCTTGGGGCTGGTTTGCCAGGAAACGTGAGTGTAACCTTCTGTGTGTTAAAACTAGAAAGACTTGCCTCTGCTAGGGCTTTGTATAACTAAAAACACTGTGGTGATGATGTTTATGTTGGGCTTGATTCTAGAGTTGTGCTGTAGAAGGCTGGTGCAAACGGGGTTGGCTAAGGTGAGGGACTGTGCTCTCTGTCTCCCACCCCCCCCAGATTCCCTCAGAGACAGACAGTGGGTTAGAGATCTTTTCTCTCCTTGATTAAATATCTACAGATGTATTGAAGCTGGTGAGACTGCTCACAGGGGAGAGATTAAGTATTCATGTGAGCAATTGCAAGGTGAGGCGCTCGACCTTGCTCTGCCTCATTTCCCTGCCCGGCTGTACAGCAGAGCAGTTAACACGACCTGCCTGTGTCGGAAAGGAAAGGTGTCTGCGGTGGCTGTCTCTAGTCACCTTGGGGCATAAAAGATGGTATCTTTGGGGTCACATACAGCTCTTTTTCTTGTAAGATGCACCTGCATTTGGGGCAGCCCGAAGGAGATACTATGAATTGCCATGTCTGTCCCCTTCCATCCTGGTGATTTAAACTCACGGTTCCCAAGCTTTGCCCAGGGAGCAGGTCCTGCTGTCAAGATGCAGGCAGGGGTTACAAACCAAGCACCTGCTCTTCCTTTCCTAAATAGATCCAGAAGCCCTTCCTGCAGTATTCTTTTTCCTGAAGGCTCGAGCTGTGGGGCTACCTCAAGGTGCAGCCTTCACACCAAAATCAGCACACCTGAAACACTCATTGACCAGTCCAAAGGCTTTACAATCAATATATGCACTGGGGTGGGTCCAAGCACTGCTTTGCTGTTCATTCTCTGCTCCTTTAAATGGAAACCTGTAGATAATTTTTCTGAAAGAGTGTGTTATTAATGTGTTATTAATCAGCTGGGAGAGGTGACAGAGCTACTTAAGTGTTCGATTTGGTTTTTTCTTCCTCTGCTTTGTAACAGGGCAACAAGCTAAACTTCATGGTGCAATGGTGGTTATTTAATAAGGGTTAACAAAAAGGCATCATTTTGCATCAGAATGGATGCCCTGTAATGGATGTCACACCTTGGCTAGTGCTTGGTCTCTTGCAAGACATTTGGGCAAGGGAAAGCTCTGCAATAAGGCCAGGCTGGCTGGTGGCTGGGAGGTATTTGAGAGGAGCCTTCCCTTTAAAGAAAAACATCCTCATCCTCCCTCAAATACCCATCACTGCTGATGTACAGGTTACAAAACATTCATGCTTCTCTGCTTCCTGCTTTGTCACAGCACACAGCTCTCCAAACACTAAATTTGGGTCCCATATTCTGCTTGTAGGCAAGAAAATGTCTTCTCTGAAGACCATGACCAGCAGTACTTTGGGGAAAAAAAAACAGAAGATGCTCTGTCTTTGGTTTTTTGTTTTGCTTTTGTTTGGTTTTTTTTCCTGTAAGGTTTCTGTTGGACACTCTGTGGTGACCAACCACTGGGCATTCCTCTGTGCTCTCTGATTTCTCTCATTCCTGTATGTTTCTGAGGGGGAGAAATGGAGCCACTTACAAACACAAACTGATAAAAAGAGGGACCTCTCTGTGACAGCTGATGTCCTCATCTTTTGAGCTAGGTCAGACTAGTAATTAGAAGACACTTTTCTTTGTCCTCTCTTTGACCAAAAAGGAGGTACCAATGTCTACATCCTAAAGTAACAAGAGCAACTGATCCTGGTTGGCTCAGATTCCAAAACCTGTAAGTGCATGTTTAGCCTTAAAGAAACAAAATAAAATCCCTGAGATTTGGGGTTTAAAATAAGTGACTTGCTTGACTATGAATCACTAATGGCAGTGAAGCAGAAAGGGTGTGTGACAGGTGGCGGTAACACTTCCATGGAGTTGGCCGTGTTGGAGAAGCCAAATCTGGACTAGAAACTCTGAGGCAGTGCTTGTATGCAAGGGTGGATTTCAAACAGAGGTAAATGAAGTGAAGAAAGCTCTGCTTTCAGAAACAATAGTTCTGCTTTGTGAGTCTGCTCGAGGACATCTCTGGTGGTAACATCTCCTTGGGGTCCATGGAATGCCAAACCCTTGGGACCTGCAGAGCATCTCCTCGCCCCTCCTTTTTTAGCAGGACAGAGGCAGGCTGCTGAGGAGCTGCTAAAGCTATACCTACCTGGTGCTTCAGTTCATCCTTCCTTCCCTTGGGAGGAAAAAGTTTGCTTAAAGATCACCCCAGAGGCTGTAGCTTGGATCTCCTGCAGCAGGAGAGCGACTCGAGGCATTTATAAATCCCTCCCCACTTGCCCACATCCAATGTGTTGGCCCAACTGCCCTTTGTTTTTTTCAGAGAAGCTCAGAAAGACCCAAAAGGCACCAAAAAAATGATAATACTTTCCACTGTGTGGGGTTTCTTTTTTTTAATCTCTGGATGAAGCCCAAGATACACTCTCAAATACAGCATCAGCGATACTCCTGGGCTTCTCCTCTTCCTTTCTGCTTCAGTGCAAAGGTTAAAGCAGGTGCCAGTTTTGCTTGTAACAGGTTTAAAAAGGAGCAGAACTCAATGGAAGCCTCACCAGCATGCTTTGCTTTCCCACCCAGCAGGGATGAGCCGTGTGGCAAATTGTTTGTTAAATTGAATCTTGCGTTCTGCGCTCCAGCAGGAGCAAAACAAGAGGTGCCACAATTACAGCTTCATTCCCTGATTACCTGCCTCAGCATGGCAGCAATAAGCATTCACAATTTGTCCCTGCATGGCCAATTCATCTTTAAACTGAAACGGCATCTTAATTGTAACCACTAATAGTCAGCTTCAATCAAAAATCACTGTGAGCCACTCCAGCTACATTGGCTGGGGCTCTCAGCACTCGCTTTTGCTGGTTAAGGGACTCAAATGAGATCATTGTGGGTTTATTTATGTATATGATCAACAAGGGGAGGGGGGGACTGGCAGCCATATAAACTCGGGGGCATCTTTATCACTTGGCATTAAGCTGGGGAGACAGGTCAGCTGGGATTTATGGGTTGGTGCGTGCGGCTCCTTTTTACAGCTTTTGCATGATTTAGGCAGAGCTGGGGCTGTGGATGGAAAAACTGAGGGAGGGAAGGGTCTTGGGTTTTGATTTCACAGTTCCTGTTGATGACAATAGCCGTAAATTTCAAGGTATTTTGCAGTGAGGCTGCAGCTTTCAATTACTGGTGTAGAGATGCAAGTGTCAGCAAAGCTGAGTGAGAGCAAGCCCTTTTCCAAGGCAAACGTTTGGGTGTGAGAGTCTGCAAAAATTGCCTGATGGATGTTAAATCTCTTCCTGGTTTGTGACAGACTGAAATTAAACCTGCAGGCTCTTGGGTTCAGCAACTGAGGACAGAACTGAACAGTTTTCTCTTCTTACAAATCCTGGGGACGTTCTTCTCTCATGAGTAGCACTGACTCTCAGGGAGTAGCCACCCTCCCAGGGCACCTGGAGGTGAAATGCATGTGCAGGGCCCAAGCTGGGGACCCCTGAGGGTGGCATGGAAGCAAGATAGGGCCAGCAGAGCCCAAAAGGATGAGATGAGACTTCAGCAAGGGCTTCCCTAGCCTAGAGAGGGACCTGTACCTGCTTTTCTACCCTATTAAATCACGCTGTGGATCAATAGCAGACAAATGACTCTGGTTGCCAGTGGCTAGTTTGTGAGATTTTTCTTTATTATGGCTTCAGCTGAAGTGCTACTGCAGAGGGAGAAGGTTGAGACTAATCTAATTTCTTTCCTAGGCGATAATTACCCAGGTATGTAAACCCTGAAAATGAGGGCTTTTTGGTTAACCTCCTCCTATTGGAAGATTTCAACTCCCCTTGTAAACTCCTAAGTACAGCTCAAAGGCTTCAAAATTACTGTAGCAGTGAAGAACCTCACAGGGTAACTGAAGGGGAGAGAGGATGTGCTGGAAAAGATGGGTCAGTGACTCCACAACTGC